GTTGTTCAGTTTCCATGTGCTTGTGAAGTTTCTATAGTTTCTTGTGCTATTGATGTCTAGTTTGATTGCACTATGATCTGATAATAAACAGGGGATGACTTCAATTTTTTTGCATTTATTTAGACCTGTTTTGTGAGCCAATATGTGGTCTATTTTGGAGAATGATCCATGTGCAGCCGAAAAGAATGTATATTCTGGTTTTTGGGGGTGGAATACTCTATAAACATCTATTAAGTCCATGTGTTCCAAAGCTTGGTTCAGTTCTATTATTTCATTGTTGATTTTCTGCCTAGTAGATCTGTCAATTTGTGATAGTGGGGTATTTAAATCCCCCACTACAATTGTATTAGTGCTTATTTGGGACTCCTACTTCTAATAGGAGGCAGTTGCTGGCAAACACCGAACCTTGGATCTAAAGGATGACCCAAAGTAGATGACGCTGACAAGTCTGTTGGAACATGATCACTCAGAGCAATATGCATTAATGATCCAAGAGCATTATAAGAGGAATTCATTGAGGATCTTGGAGCTGTTGGTCTATCAGAAATTAAATAGTTTGGAGAATTTCTGGAATCACTTAAATAGTCTTGGCAATCTCTTTCGTAGTCACAGATACCAGGCCCATCATGCACAGAAATGCAATCACCAGAAACATTTTCATCATTGAGATCATTGTCTGGGTTGGAATTGGATTTGGTGTGGCATGAATCAAAGGTGTTTTTCTCATTTCCACTGTTTCTACGATTGTTTTCTTCAGCAGACTGCCCATCAGGCCAGTCTTGGAGCATCCTTTGCCCGACAGAAAACTGCTTTGTCACTGGCTCCATTGTATTGCTTATTCTTAATGAGCCCCCATTGGGCTTGCTTCTTAAAGAATTACCTCTGCAGTGTTCATCATTTTCTTCAAAATTTTTATTTTTGGCATAAGTGGCAGATGTCCCAAGAAATGTACTTGGTTTATAATTGGAAGGAGAACAGGGAGACTGCATACCAACCAACAGAATTTCTTCTTCCGTGTAGGTTTCTTCTCCAATGTTATTATTTTCTCCTTCAGTGTTCAGTGATAACATGGAATAAAATTCTTTGTCTTGGAACCTAAATGGTGTCTTTCTTGGCCCTCCCATGGTGGTGGATGTGAGTGGTGGCCCCAAGGACCCACTCAACACTTGAGGATTCCTCATTCTTTGGAAGGTCTGAGATAGGGCAGAATATGGCTCATTCAGGGAAAGAGCATTTTGGTCTACTTGTTTGGTTCCTTCAGCGGGGTTCTCAGCTGTCCTCATCAGCTGTGAGGATGAAATGAAATTTCTTTTCTCTTGAGTTGTCCTCTTCAGCTTTGTTTTGATTGCCCACATTGAGTCTTCTTGGTGAACTACTGGATCATCTTTGAAAAAAGACAAATTCATTCTGTTAAAATACCATGGATGAAAGCCCTCTACAACAAGCATGAGAAATCCTTTAAAAAAAAAGTCCTAGAGAACAAAATGTACGTGGCCAAAACGGGTAGGTACAGGAGGAGTCTGGCACAGCTGGCTTCTTTTTACTGCTTCTGGGTTCTTTCCACATCTGTGAAGCTCAGGCTGATTCTGGGGAAACAGAATTCTGAGGATACCAGTTCTTTTTTGCAGAAACTTCAGGAAGACCTGTCTAGCTCCAGGCTAGTCAGGCCTGAGGGTGGATAAACATCTCACAGAATACTGGTTTTCATTCTATATTAATTGAAAAGGAAAACTAGCATCCTGGGAATGACTTCCAGAAAACCCACTATTTTTATGACCCTCCTGCTTTACAAAAACTTAAGAAAAGTGAAAACTATATTGGCAAATTGGCAGACTGGGAGGAAGGCTCGAGAAGCTGGTACTGAGGTACACTGATGATGGTGGTCATGCTTACTATTTTTGTTTGTCTTTTTTTGTTGTTTTTGGTACTGGGGATCAAACTCGGGACCTTGCGCTTATGAGGCAGCTGGTAGAACCACTGAGCTAAATCCCGGTCCTCATGCTTACTATTTAATGAAAATAAAAATTATGCATCTCTCAAGAAGTCACTGTCTCCTTAGCCTCTAGTAAACTCATAACCACTGGCTATCACTGCATCTTTACCTTCCCTGCCCTAAAGTTCTTCATGTAGACAGAAGAGAGGTAAAGTGCCCACTGAGTAGGGATTTCTATTGGTGGGATCACTTATTCAAAACTTCCTTATACAAAAGATAAATATGCAGTACTTGTTCAGGGTATACACTGAGGGTCAGAACCACACCAGGTATTATCACACATGCAGTTAAGCCTCACAACCCTATGAGATGGGTACCGCAATCATACCACGTTAGAGCTCAAGTATCAAGGCATGGGGGGGGGTCACATAACTTGCTATACAAGATTGTATTTCTAGTAACTGATGGAGTGAACATTTGAACCCAAGCCTGCCTGATACTAGGGGGTTTGCGCTGTTAACCACTATCCTGTGTTATATTATCCCTTAAGACACTGGCTGGACTTCCATTTTCCTTGTGAAAACCAGGACCCATGGGACTTCACGGCGGTGTGAGTGGCTAAGGGTTTTTCACCCTGACAATGTGGGTATAAAATTGAAAGTACTTGTCTGATTCCTTCCTTTATTCCGTCCTGATGGGCCATCCCCCCTGGATTCCCTTCTCTGCTGTTCAGTGAATCTGCTGAGGCTTTGCTGTCCTTATCACTTAATTTTTAAAGCAGTCTGCCTGTCGAGTGGACAGGACACTAGGGGTCTGGGAAGGTCTGTGATAACAGCTCTGCTGGGGAAATGCAAATCCTCTGAGTGGCCAGCTCAGCCAAGGCCAAGTCGATACCAACTTGCTTTAATTGAGGCTGCTCACAGGGGAGCCTCGGCTCGAGTCTCTAATGTCCTAATACTCTGTAAGCTTCTCTTATTGTTAGCTGCATGGGACACTCAGTGACACAGTGCGAATCTTTACTCATAAGCTCTTCCAGAAATCAGTTAAACTCTCCTGCCAGGCCCCTCATGGGGTTTTATAAACCCCAGTAAGAGATGTATCTGCAATTTAAGGACGTTTTAAGCATCTGGCTATGTATGGAGCTGGCTTGCCTACCCTACTGGGTTGATTCACATGTGGAGACATTGGTGTTTCTAGAAAACCAACTGAATGTGTTTTTTTTTTCTTGTTTGCTTATTTGAGAAAAAAAGTGATATAAATTTAATAATCAAAGTGTAGGCTCTGATTGATTGCTTTTCATTTTGAATATGAAGAGCTTCAGAAGTCAGCTAACAGTGCTGAAACCTGATGCTTCTGGTGGTTTCCTAAACACAGGAATCCCACTGTAGGTTGAGAAGCCCCCGCCCCATCCTTGTTACCTCTGACCAGTTCAGCTCAGGCCTCTGTCCAGGGAAGGGGGAGACACCTAATGGGCAAAAGAATCCACTAGGGGGCTTCTGAAAAAAAGAAACTGGAAACAACAGGAACTATGAGCTCATTTCATGGAAGCTTCCCACTGAGCTGTCACGGGGTGACACAGGCTACAACACTGTGGTGAAACTCACAGAGCTCCTGGAAACCCACCCGGGAATGGGTCTTCAGCCCTCCCTGACACCGTAACTATCATCTTCCTCTTTAAAAATGCAATCAGAGCAACTCTGTGTGTGTGTGTGTATGTGTGTGTGTGCGTGCGTGCGCGTGTGCGTGTGTGTGTGTGTGTGTGTGTGTGTGTCCGGATTGGTGTGTGCTCTCCTTAAAGGTAGCAGACCGCACCATTCTATATTTATGCTATTTTAACCCCATTTTTTGTGTCTATCAAAGAGGCAGCAGATTTCAATAGCGCTGGGGCTGGGAATAAGCTCTGCAATTGCTATGCCAGGGATGTGCTATTCATAGCCCAAGCCCTGCAGATGCTGGATGCTTCCTGGAGGCCCTGCCTGGGCTCCAGCTGTGGATGGGGGTGGCTGCCATCTCCAAGAGTTCCCAGTGCACGAAATGAAACCAGAACAAGTGTCTGCCTGCCTTAAGACTATGCCTTTGGTCTGGACTTCCTCACGTGCTTGAGCAGTAACGCCCTACATTCCAACAGTCATGTACTTTTCATTTTTTTCTTCCAGCTATAAAAGTGGTCAGTGGGGCCAGGGATTTAGCTTAGTGATGCTGCCACCTGCCTCAAAAGCACAAGGTCCCGAGTATGATCCGCGATACCAAAAAATAAAAAATACATAAAAGTGGTCTCTGGTCATTGGAGAAAATGTGGAAACTATAGAAGTGGATGAAATAATCCAAGTCTATTCATAACCAAAAGGTCAGAAGACCATTGTTCCAGCTCTGGACTTGATTGGGGGGGGTTGCAGACCCAAGGCCCCCAGGTCATTTTCATCCTGCTTCAGCTCAGCCATTTTAACATTGAATTAAACACCCTGAGATGGTTAACCACAGGCCTCAAAACCCTTGTTATGCTCCCTCCCTTTTATGTCCACCTGCTCCTTGAAATCACTTGCACTTACGGCACAGAGCTGCTTTATCTAGAGTTACGGTGGTACCTTGATTCATGAAATTAACTTTGTTTTGTAGCCACCCTTGTGTTTGTGTGGGAAGGATGGCTGTGGTTGTGTTTGTCACATGATGTGGAGTTTGTGAATGGAATCAAAATTTTGCCGAACACTTCTGTTTGAGAACTGAATTGTTTGTGAGCAGAAGCATTCGTGAACTGTATTTTTTAAAAAAATTGTGACATTTTCTGTACATACAACTGTATGCCCTGCCTTCTTTCCCCAAATATTTCACTATATGCATTATCTCAGGTCATTATAATGATTCTTTAAGAACACTGTAAGTATAAGGTACACTGCATGAATATACATAAATTGCCGAACTCTTCCCCTATTGCTGGACATATAGATTATTTTGTGGTTTTTGCTGTCACACACCATGCTGTGATTAATAGCCTTGCTTGTATATTTTGATGAATAGCTTCATGGAAGTGAAACTGCCAAGTCAAAAGTCACTTTCTAGAGAATTCTGACGCCTGTTGCCAAATTCCTTTCCAGATGGTTTGCACCAAATCACCCTCCAGGTAGGATGTAAGAATATCTCTTTTAACTAACTATGTCATCAGCAGTAAATAACAGCTAATGCATAGGTGCTAGAAGTATTAGTTGTTAGTTTTACTGTCGCTATTAAATATTGTTTGTAAGCCTTAGCCAATTTGGTAGGCCAAAACTCACATCCTGTGAGTATATATTTATTATCTACAGAGGCTGAACTTTAAAAAGTGTTTATTAGCCATCAATATTTCTTTTGTGAAATTGTCTGTCATATTCCTTTCCTATTTTTCTATTATGTCTTCATGCTTTTTTACATTGATTTGTTTTATATCGATTGGTATATCTTGGTCATATTTTCTCCAAGTTATTCACAGATACTATTCAAATATCTGGTTCCTACTCCAATTTATGCAAGCCATGGTAGAATACAAGGAAAGGAACCAAAGGGAGGTGATAATTGCGGAAAGATAAAAAGCCTTGGCATAATAGAAAACTGGGACTATTTCTCAGTAGCTCACAGAATGACAGAGGTGTCTCTTGGGTGAAGATGGAGGATTGTAGGTGCCCATGGGCCCAGGAACATTTTATGCAGGGAGAACTTTACCTTTCAAATACCTGAGAGTTCATGGAGAGCTGCTGGGGAGGTGGCAGGAGAGAAACTAACAATAGTTCAGTCAGTGCCTTTTACTATGCGCCAGGAGTGGTCTATATATTATTTCATTTAGTTTTTGTAACACTGCAGCAAGACAGATTTTATTATTCTTATTTTAGAAAAAAAAAAAAACTTGCTCAGAGTGACCGTGTGACCATCCAGGATGCTACTTCCAGGAAGAAAAGGAACCGCAACATTAGAACTGAGGTCTGCCCTTCTTAGTTGGAGGTTTTCGATCACCGGGACCTCCAGGGATGTCTCCTTGGTATAGGTTCATGAATACTCAAATTACGCCTAATTCTGAAACATCTAAATTCTGCCCTGTCCTTCTACATGTGTCCACCAGTATATATCATATTGACATATGAAGGCTGCAACCTTAATGCATGTATGTATGTATGTATGTATGTTTTATGTGTCTGTCTGTTTATTTATTTATTGGTACCGGGGATCGAACTCGGGACCTTGAGCTTGCAAAGCAGGTGGCGGAATCACTGAGCTAAATCCCCAGTCCCCTATGTATCTATTTATTATACCTTAGCTTTAACTTGAAATTTCATCCTTCAAAAAAACAAACGTGTATCACTCATGCACCACACGTATTTAGTGGGGTTTTTTTTGAGAAATGGTTTCAGATTAGCCACTTAACCAGATTATTACTAGAATAAAATAAATTCAATTTCATATCATTTGCTGTCTTTAGTAACAATAAATGTAATGTTTTGTGGTTTGTCTAAGGGCAATGTTGGCTGTGATATGTCTCCTTCCTTGAGTCCTTAGGTTCTGATCTCCTTCCCTTTTTGCCACCACAGGAAAGGTGACATGGCTAGTAGAACGGATGGCATGGGCCATTAGATGTTTGCTCGGGACAGAAACTTAGAAAAAGAAGGGCTCCACTAAGCCGGTGCTTTGGGATAAAGCATATATTCTTTTTGATGTTATTTCTTGCACATTAAGATCTTGACACTATGATTGCCCTGGATCAGAGGGAGAATCTTGGGAGGGTGGGGTGGGAAATTGATCTGTCTGCCACGGGATAAGACATTCATCGTATCCTTCTTGGGGGTGAGTGGGAATTATGGCCAGGTGGGGTCCTCCCAGAGCTGTGAGCTCTTCTCCACCTCTCTCCATCGCCACATCCACCTAAAGTCATGAACAATCATGCTTATAGAATAATGAGAAAGAATAATGAACGATCAACTCCCTACCCCCTTTTCCCACTAGCTCCTCTTGGAGAAGAAAGCTGAGTTGAAGTAGTTTGCTTGTAAAGCTCTGTAAGCACTTCATTTAAAGGTAATTCTCCAATACATACAAACACAGACAGGTAAAAATCAAAGAAATCACCAGGTAACAAGCACAAGTCAGTCCTCTTCCCCAAGGACGAAACTGTGGCAGCCACAGGTCTTACCTGGTCCCCAGCGAGTTGGTGCCTTTGCTGGTGGCTGCCACTTCTGTCTACTTCTGTCCTCAGCTGCTCTTAAACTGTGCATTTCTGGGCTGACTGTCAATCTCCCAAGGTATGGTCTCCCCTTCCTTGATAAAATTTTTGGTGCTTCTGCCACAGAAAGGTACAAAATCTTTTCAATAATTAGGTTTTTGCAGGAAAACATCTTCCAAATAAAAAACACGCAGAGAGCCCAGCAATGTGGAAGGAGGGTGGTGTAGTTAAAAGGGAATGGACCTCAGAGGTCAGAGAAGAGCCAGATTTGAAACCTGGCTTACTCCTTAGTATGGGGAAATTGCTTTATTTCCTCAAAGCTCCATTCACTCCACTTGTTATGTGGAAATAACAATATCTAATTCACAAGGCCATTATCACTGTTAATGGGCACCCCTGACACCAGCAATACAGGGGCTATAGAAGCCCTTCCTTTGCTAAGAAGTTTCTAGCTTCTAATTCATGGGTGTTGGATGAGCCTATTGCTAACACTGGCAGGAAGGCTCTTGGGACACACAGTGGACTTGACCCCTAAGTGCTCAGCCAAGTTTGGATCACAACATATTTTGTGCTTCCAATATTTATGTCCTCAGGCTGCTTATTAGCAAACATGGTCTTCATGGAAGATTCTGAGAATCTGGGACCATACACCCTCTTTCTTGCCCGTGACCTGCTCACTACTGTACCAAGATGGAGGACAGTAGCAGGAGTGCTACCATGGGCTGAATCCCCAATGAGCTCTTTTAAGGTTCTCATTTGAAGTTAGGTTGAGAGCTGGTTCTCTGCTTCATGTGTATTAAGCGTCCGTGCAACTGAATGTGGGGGACATTTCCTTGCATTTCTGTAAGTTCTTGGGTTCACCGGACAGTTAAATCATGAATTTCTGCACTGAATTCCCCAAGAAAATTTGCCAGGCTCATTCCCTTTTAGGCAGTTTAAGAGTTTCACAAACAGATGTAGTGAGCAGAAAACAGGGGTAAATCTGGGACAGGCCCCTGGCTGGTATATGTGAGGACAGCTTTTCTTGGCATGTGGGGACAACTGGATTTTTTCAGAGTGTAGGTTGTAATTGCATGAATGTTTCCATCCAGATTCGGGAAGAGAGGAAAGCTCCCTCTGGTAGCCTGTGGAACCTATTTTACTACAATGATGGGGTCTATTTGCTCCTGACAGGCCCTGAGGTGGGGCAGGGGTGGCTCTGAGCCGCAGGACAGGGAACGATGCTCCACAGGGAACTGACCAGCTGGAGGGTGCTGCTGGCAGTGTCTGGTGAGTTTAGTGGAGCCCAGAGAGATGTGGGTGTGTCCAGAAAGGAGAACAGAGTGGAAGTTCTCTGGAAAATGAGGATATGTCCTTCGGAAGGTGTAGAGTGGTGACTAGACATGATTCACTGAGAGGGGAGGGAGAAGAAGGGTGAGAGATAGAGGGACTGGGTGCTCTAAGTAAGGGATGGTGCCACAGAAGATGTAGGGGAAGCATTTTCTCAGTACCCAAAATTGCATTCCTTGGAGTCAGACCTTCTTCTCCCGTGTCACCTGAGGACTCATCCCCGTCTAGGTTTTAGAGATCAACTGCTGCTCCTTGCGGGAGGAAGCTTCAGGATTCTTACTGGGGAGAAGAAACTGGAGAAGGGGCAGGCTTGGGGCTTAGGTCAGGCTGTAAGTCAGGACCTGTCCCAAAGGTTCTGCCATGAAGGGTTTTACTCTGATTCCCAGCAGAACATTCACATTCTTCCACACCCAGCAGCAAAACTTCACACTGCCTGCAGGCCGCCCACCCACCTTCTTGGGTGCGATCCTCCCTCCCTGAGGGCTTCTTCCTTCCCCAGCCAGCACCAGCCAGCTGGTCCTTCAAGAAAGAGTTTCATGTCTACCAAATTTGCTTTGACTCTGCCTTTTCCAAAGCCTTTGTTTTCCGTTTTTAAAATGTCCTTTAGCATTTAAACATTAAAAAAATCGCTTAATGTGCTTGTTTCAGCAGTGCATATACTAAAAAAAAAAATGCTTAATGTTTATTAAACTCAGAGTAGACTGTAAGCTCCTTAAGGACAAAGACCATCCCCAGCCAGTCTATGTATTGCCTCACACTGTTGTGCGGTATTACTAACTGCCTTGTATGATTTGCAGGGCTCAGGAAGATGCAGTCAGCCCCAAACTATGAGAAACTTCAAAACAAGAATACACTTTTTGTTAAGAAAAACACCCAAGATCACTTATGATGAAAGGTCATTTTTGTGGCTGTTGCTCAAAAAACTGCTTTCTTTAAAGCCTCAGATCTCTTAAATGATCTCTAAAACTATAACCATGTCTCCTCTAATCAAGTTCTCAATGAACTAAAGTAATAAAGCTGAACAATGAGATTATTTTACCAGGCCTGGTAGTGAGGCAAAGCCAGGAACTCCTGACCTGTGGCAATTTGAACTTTAGTTTCTTCAACTGTAAAATCAGAGTGCAGTGATACCTCGGTTGTTAAACTCGATTATTTCCAAATTTGGGTCTGAACACTGAAAAGTTCAAGAACTAAACATATTTTCCCACAAGAAATAATGGAAAACCAAATAATTGGTTCTGAGGCCCCAAAATTACATTTATAAATTCACTCTTCCAGGACCTTAACAAATTTCACAATGACTTTTTTTTTCTTTAACTCTATAGTGATTCTCATTTCCTTTTAGCTTTACTGCTGGTGTTACTTTCTTTGGGGCCATGGTTACAATATTTTACTCAAATAAAGTGCAAAAAAAAAAAAAAAAAAAAGAGCACGACGAAAGTTTTAATGCACCAACACGAGAACTGTATGCTGTGTGGGCAAGAGTGATGCTTAGCCAGAAGTGTTACCCTTTTGTGTCCACAGAAAGATGCAACATGTGGCTCACTCTCTACCTATACAGGTTTTTTTCATTGGATTTTCAGTTTGACTATTGAACAAAATTACACACACCAGCAGATTTTTTTTCAAATTTTGCTGTTTCAGTAGTGGAGCTTAGAGCAATTCAACAACTGGAGTATTACTCTAAGTTACTGTAACATTTAGCAAAAATATATATAAATGGCCTAACTCAGTCTCTGATGCTAATCAGCTGCTGAAAACAATGGCTACTTCTTCTACCATAAAGAGTATTATTACTCTTACTAATTATTAATATTCTTGATAATGAGAAATCTGAGGTGACACCTATGAGAGACATGAATTTGACCAGAAATATATTGCTTTTCAGGCTCCACAGGTTGAGAATAACTTACTCAGCAGCCTTCATTCCTGTGTATTCTTGTTGATTCACTCCCCAGCCTTCTTTTATAAAATCCAAAAGGCAAATAGCAACTCTTTTTATAATAATTTGTTCAACAAATACCTGTGTGCCCTCACTATGCCATAATTTGAGGGTTCACAAAGATGAGTAAGATATTTTGGTCATGACTTTAAAGATTATGATCTAATTTGGCTGCACTTCTGAGTTCCTCCCGTGATATCCTTTAGATTCTATAAAAGCAAGCTCTTGCAAAATAGTCATTCTTTCCCATCTGCAATCACAGTGACAAATGAGATAATCCTGCATGACTGCATAGTTTGCACACATCGATTTAAGAGTTTCAAACATTCACCACTTATTCCAAATTGCTAATCACATTACCCACATGGACTGTGAACCAAATTTTAGGGGCCTTTCTAAGATGAGGTTTCACCATGGCACGATGCAGATATTAATGTGCAGGAAACCCAACTCATATTTGCAGCGGGAGATGAAATGCAAGTTCCTCTCCAGGTAGTAGGACAAGTCCTTTGCCTTATTGAAAAAGGACATGTGTTCAATTCACTGCCACATAACTCAATATCACATTTGTCAGTGAATTTTGGGGAAGGCCAAGCTTTGCTCTGGATGATACACAATCCATACTCTCTTCTACTATCTGAACAGGATGCTACTTCCAATAGCAAAGAAACTGAACAGTTGTATCGGTAGAAGGCATCTGCCTCAGTTCTTCTAATAATGTTGGGAAATCATGATTGTTAACAGAAAAAGGAACAAACTGTACAAGCCTCATATTTATGCAAGATCCTGACAATTGAGAGCCAAGTCCACTCAACTGTTCACCTTTATTCCACACACCTAATTGTCTTCATATCCCTTGCCATATAAGTTCTTGATAGACAAAATTGAAAAGGAGGAAAATATAATTCCTGACACTTTATCCTTCCCAACACTACCTTGATCAGGATTGCTGGTGCCAAGGAGGTGCTGAGATTCCTTCCAAGAGATGCTGCTTTGAAGAATTTATTGCTTCCTTTGGATTTTGGGAAGGATTACAGGCAATATTGTTTTGGCATAATAGGCAGCTTTCTGTACAGTCACAAATAATAGGTTGCATCTATTTGCCTATTTGAGTGCACTAGAAATGTGCATCATCTTACATACCCAAAGGAGATCTAAATTGATGCCTAATTATGTACCATAAATATGTTTTTATTTTGGAACTCAGGAGGTGGGACTTTTGATTTTAGGAAATGCAATGCCTAATAAGTAGTCAGGAAAGAGAACGTAAACACTGACTGAGTCCTTTAATTTGTCCCTCCTTAGTGTGGTTCTGGATGGGTTTTCAGTTCCAATGTGTGCTTTCAGAACAATCTACCCAGTGCCGCTCTCTCAGGGTGGCCTCGGTATGTGCCCATTCACATAGCCAAGGGTATGATCAGACACAGAAGAACCTGTTGGGTTTCTGGTGGTGATGTTCCAAAGAGTGCCAGACATAGAAATTAAGAAATCAAATGAGCCTCCGGAGATGATGGGCTTTTATTAGATGTTCACTCCAACAGCATCAGAAGAATCTCAGCCCGAGGGAAGTAGCAGTGCCGTCCCATCTTCCTGCTGCCCTGAGCACCACACCTCCTGGTATTGTTCATGGCATTTCCTCTGGCCCCTCTCTTGTCCCCCTGCCTTCTGGATCCTGGCACCCCCCTCTCCCTGACTCCAATGTGTTGTGTGCCTTGCTAGGAGTGACCTACCACACGAGGTAAATTTTACTGGGTCTTCTGGGGCCGGACAGGCACAGCACAGGGGTCTCAGATGGAGTTGGGCAGGAGATGGGGAAGTAACAGAGAGATGCTGGAGACCCGGGCAC